TGGCAGCGAACAGCAGGTTGTACGTGGTCGACTTGGTTTTTATCTAAAATGGACACGGAGAGTTTTCATCTCCATGGTCTATTACTCCCGTGCCTCCTTATATATATATATATATATATATATATATATATATATATATATTATATATATATATATATATATATATATATATAGCACAGCATAAGACTGTCGTCTGAAAAGGTAGGCAGGTATGTAGTTGTACCCCACCAGGACATCACACAAGCGAAAAACATACACAACGATAATGATGTTTCTTCTTCTTCTTCTTCTTCTTCTTCTTCTTCTTCTTCTTCTTCTTCTTCTTCTTCTTCTTCTTCTTCTTCTTCTTCTTCTTCTTCTTCTTCTTCTTCTTCTTCTTCTTCATCTTTCTTCTTCTTTTTCTTCATCATCATCTGCGTTCATCCGAGAAGTAAATGCGCTGTGCCAATTTACAGAATACTTGCGATATTTGCTTCCTTCTATCGACACATCCGACTTCTGCAAGCATTTGTTGGGCGGGGATGCCTTGCGACTGTTAGTAAGTAAGCCCTTTCAGTAGCGCTGAATCAGTGAAACAGTCTGGACGTATGGGTGTTTTAAATGACGGCAGTTCTTAGCGACGTGCGTGTTTTATTCTGTGTGTGCAAGTGAACTGTCCAGGAATGTGGTTTAGCAAAATCTAGAATGATGTCAGTATAGACTGGACGGTGTACACGTTGGCCCCTCTGTAGTAGGTTCAGCCTAATGTGCATACATGTATCACGTAGTCTGACGGGGACAAGGGTCTTCGTGTTCTATGGAGATTGCCGTGACAACTGAGGGTTGACCAGCTTGAGGTCGTAATGCCAAGGTATCAGAGATACTTTACATTTGTGTGTGTACATCCGCCTGAATTTCCTCAGCTGACTGGGTCAGTTGGATAGAGAGCTGTTATTGAACGTTCACTGCACATAACGGAAGGAGTATCTGTGCGGTATCTGTATCTGTAGCAGCCACTGTGTGTATTTTGTAATAGCATATTGCGCTCTTATCCGGTGTGAGTGTACTTGACATGAAGTAGCGGGCATAAAGGTATTCGTTAATGAGAATTCATTGTCTTAACATGTTCGTCCATTAAGAAAGGAGACTGACTACACTGTCTGAATATTTTTCATATTGTACATTACAGTGCTCTTGGACAGCGCGTGTTGTAAAACTGTAACGTGTGCTTCGTTTGTTGTGGCGCTTCTGTTGTCGTTGGCCTCTTTGCCATCCTCTAGGAACCGAGCAGTCGTCTTGGAATGGGGGCGTTTGTGTGTGTGTGTGTGTGCGTGCGCGTGTGATTGAAGTGTAATAACACTCTCCATACTTTGCCAGGTATGCAGCGTAATCATACCCCTCGCAATACTGCATTTTTAAGAAGTGAAAGAACAATGGCGGTGGCCGTGGTATCAATCAAGAGGGGTAGGGGCCGACCAGTACAAATGTAGGCACAGGGCATTCTAGAAAACAGGGCAGGAGAGTTCAGGAAGTAGATCTAGTGAGTGAACGATATTCTCTCCCGTGACTTTCTGTGTAGGACCTGTCAGGAGACCTCTGGGACAACAGAAAGGCTCCTCCGCAGAAATATTTCTGCTTAAATGTGTCTGTGAAAGAAGCAAGAAACTGGTGATCAATTGCAAGTCGGGAGTCACGTATAAACAAATAAACACAAAAATAGGATATAGGAAAGATCTGTCTGTTTAGTGAAAAGCCCCTGTTTGGTGACGGGCATGAATAGGCCTTGATCAGCCCTAAAGGGTACCAGGAAATGTCCGGGAAGTAAAAGCGGTCATCGTTATGTTGATTACATCCCCAAGTGAACACCGATTCGTCTATATGGGACTAGCACCATATGCCACTTGCCACACTGGTGGGATCGATCAGACTGTACCCTCTGAGCTGTTACCTAAAGGTTTACCGTACCATCCTGAGATAAACAAAGCTCAGTATGGACGACAGGCCAACAAGGTGGATCCTAGATACTCCGTTCAGCCTCCAGAAAAGTTATAATCAGGGCACCCGTAACCGCTACCAAAGTCAGGTGTCACCTGTAGGCCTATGTGGCTAAGGACCAGCACTGGTGTGGAAAAGGACCTTTATTTTTTAACTGTCACTGCTGTCTGTTTTACCACATTTTAGGCTGGCGTAGACAGGAAATGGGTAGGGGTGGGAAAATGGTGAGCCTGAGGATTGAGGGCCGCCTGGCTAGTGCTGTCGCCACGGACTGTGCAGGTTAGAATGTTCTGACCCCGACAGAAAAACTTCATCTCCTTACCAGAAGTCGAACCCGCGTCTCTCGCCTAAGAGTCTGACGTTGTAACCGCTCGGCCAGCCACTCCTCCTTAAACAGCAGTCAATAGTAGTAAACAGCAAACAATAGTAGTAAACAGCAGTCAATAGTAGTAAACAGCAGTCAACAGATGTAAACAGCAGTCAATAGTAGTAAACAGCAGTCAATAGTAGCAAACAGCAGTCAATAGTAGTAAACAGCAGTCAATAGTAGTAAGCAGTTAATAGTAGTAAACAGCTGTCAATAGTAGTAAACAGCTGTCAATAGTAGTAAACAGCTGTCAATAGTAGTAAACAGCAGTCAATAGTAGTAAACAGCAGTCAGTAGTAGTAAACAGCAGTCAATAGTAGTAAACATCTGTCAATAGTAGTAAACAGCTGTCAATAGTAGTAAACAGCAGTCAATAGTAGTAAACAGCAGTCTGTAGTAGTAAACAGCTGTCAATAGTAGTAAACAGCAGTCAGTAGTAGTAAACAGCAGTCAATAGTAGTAAACAGCAGTTAATAGTAGTAAACAGCAGTCAATAATAGCAAACAGCAGTCAATAGTAGCAAACAGCAGTCAATAGTAGTAAGCAGTTAACAGTAGTAAACAGCTGTCAATAGTAGTAAACAGCTGTCAATAGTAGTAAACAGCTGTCAATAGTAGTAAACAGCAGTCAATAGTAGTAAACAGCAGTCAGTAGTAGTAAACAGCAGTCAATAGTAGTAAACAGCTGTCAATAGTAGTAAACAGCTGTCAATAGTAGTAAACAGCAGTCAATAGTAGTAAACAGCAGTCTGTAGTAGTAAACAGCAGTCAGTAGTAGTAAACAGCAGTCAGTAGTAGTAAACAGCAGTCAATAGTAGTAAACAGCAGTTAATAGTAGTAAACAGCTGTCAATGGTAGTAAACAGCAGTCAATAGTAATAAACAGCAGTTAATAGTAGTAAACAGCAGTCTGCAGTAGTAAACAGCTGCCAATAGTAGTAAACAGCAGTCAATAGTAGTAAACAGCAGTCAGTAGTAGTAAACAGCAGTCAATAGTAGTAAACAGCAGTTAATAGTAGTAAACAGCAGTCAATAGTAGTAAACAGCTGTCAATAGTAGTAAACAGCTGTCAATAGTAGTAAACAGCTGTCATTAGTAGTAAACAGCAGTCAATAGTAGTAAACAGCAGTCAGTAGTAGTAAACAGCAGTCAATAGTAGTAAACAGCAGTCAATAGTAGTAAACAGCAGTCATTAGAAGTAAACAGCAGTCAATAGTAGTAAACAGCAGTCAACAGCAGTAGACAGCAGTCAACAACTGTAAACAGCAATCATTAGTAGTAAACAGCAGTCAACAGCTGTAAACAGCAGTCATTAGAAGTAAACAGCAGTCAACAGAAGTAAACACCAGTCAACAGCTGTAAAAAAAAAAAGAAACACTCAACTGATATACAAGACTCCCTTTGTGGGTTCCAGGGCCCCATTGTGGGGGAAAACAAGAATAGTCCCACTGCCTACCCAAAGCATGTCGTAAGAGTCGACTAATTAGGAGCTTTCTTCGAAATCAGAGTAGACCTGCCTAAGAGGCAAAGAACCAACAGGCTGCATACAAATCTTCCTATCTGTAAAACGAATGCACACGCAACACTCAGATTCTGTAGAACTACTCAAGTCTAGAAGTGGACTTTCCGCCGGATTTTACAGCTTTTGAACATAAAGAAGATGTACAAGACAAAAACCAGAAAACATTATCTGTTGTTGTCACAAAACAAACACACGTGTTTACTGTATCATTACACAAAAACTGTTGTTTCAGCAACAACGGAAAGGAAACAAAAAATGCAAACATAGTGGAGTTTAACAGATATCATCACTTTTAATGAGTTGCTAGTATTCCTTTCGTTCTTTCTTTCCTTTTGTACGTTTCTCCCGAAGTTACAGCTTGTGTAATCACACTTTTCTTGCTTAATCCGAATTAATTTAAATTTACATTATTACAAGAAAGGTACCCACAGACAGGGAAGCCCTGAACTGCTTTACGGTAACTGTAAAAGCCATTTTTGAAAGCCTGCTGTACGCTGGTCTTGTATCTAATATTTTAATGATCACAAAATAAATGTCTAAGAATATAAAACACGACATTAGGTATTCAGTTGTTGTGCTCAAATTGGTCAAATATTTATTATGCTATAGTCAACGTTGATTTCAAATCAACGTTGTGTGTCTCTTCAAACAGCAATTTTGGGAATATCTGTCCGATTTATTTTTCATGTCATTTATCTAACAGCGTTTTCATTGATCATGTTATGTTAGGCGGTATATACGGCTTGGGGTTACGGATTTGTAGCTTCGTAACACCCAGTGCAATTCAGATGCAGGACAGGTGTCGGCAAGCAGCTTTGCGTGTGATTTTGACAATGGTATAGATAGCCAGCCATTCAGAAGCCATAGGAAACTACGGAACTTAAAATTTAAAAAGCAAAATCAAAGCCTCGTCTTGTAAAGAATTCGCAGCTAACTTTTTAAATGTTATGTTATTACGATCGATGTCACTGCACATTAGGCAGTGCTTAGTCTTCCGATGCCATAGTCATCAAAAAGTACCTGTATTGACCGCTTCCAAAGGAAAATGTTTGATGATAAACTAATTCCTCCTGTCTATATCAACATAACACACACACGTTAATAAATATTCAACTGCGGCGAATATTGCAGATAACCGTCTATCCTATTCTGACAAATGCGGACTGTCTACCGAGCATTGCCCGATTATATTCAGCTGGGTCAATGATAAGGTCTTTATTTTTTCCAATTCGAACGAAAGCTGATGAAGGAATCTTACCGATCCTAACAAATGCTGATCCTCTGTTAACTAAGTTTATTGGTTTCTCTCTGTCAGCTGCGTTGCCATCTTCTTGGCTTTTCGTGAACAATATTTGGTCTTCAGTCTTTGGTGAGGCAAAAGAACCGTAGTGTAAAGATTTACCAATGCGAACAAAGCTGGAACCTCTCTTCTCCAGTTCCGTTGAAGTGTCTTTTGCTTGATCAGCTTTGCCAATCCTTACAAAACTGGAAGCTCGTTTCCCTACATCATCTTGGTTGTGGTCAGATTTACCAATGCGAACAAAATTTGACGCCCTCTTGTCCTCGTCTTGAGACTTTCCAATTCTGACAAAACTGGATGCACGCTTTAACAGATCACTTCGATTGTCTTTCACTTTCTCATCTTCGGCAATCACCGAAGGCAGCTCATCGTAGTGCAGTGGGAGGTCAACAGTATGAAGATCAGAACTTCTACCGATGCGTACAAAACCTCTTGAGCGCTTGTCTTCAGCATCGGAATACGCTTTACCGATCCTTACAAAGCTTGAAGGACCTCTTCCGATTCGGACAAAATTAGAAGGAGCTTTTCCTATTCGGACAAAATTAGAAGGAGCTTTTCCTATTCGGACAAAATTAGAAGGAGCTTTTCCGATTCGTACAAAACTAGATGGGGCTTTTCCTATTCGGACAAAATTAGAGGGAGATTTTCCGATTCGTACAAAACTAGAAGGGGCTTTTCCGATTCGAACAAAACTAGAGGGGGCTTTTCCAATTCGGACAAAACTTGAAGGAGCTCTTCCAAATCTGTTTAGTGTTTCCAAACTTTCCATGTCTTCTGCAGAACTTCCTGCCTTGTCGGAAAATGAGGTCAACGATTTGCCGATTCGGACGAAACTTGAGGGAGCCTTTCCGATTCGAACAAAACTAGAAGGCGCTTTTCCAATTCGTACAAAACTAGAAGGAGCTCTGCTAAATCTGCTCCAAGATTCCGATCTTTTCATGTCTTCTGCAAATCTTCCTGGCTCCTCAGAAAACGGGCTTGACGATTTGCCGATTCTGACGAAGCTAGACGCTCTCTTGTTGACATCATCGTCTTCTAATCCTTCATAGACATCTGAATTTAATGGATATCCTTCTGCCGAAACATCTTTGGATCCGACAGCATCTTGGTCATATTCATCATTGCCGTTTAGTTCGCTGCCCGGATTACGTCCAATTCTAACGAACCTACTCATTGTAGGGTATCTTCCGATGCGAACAAAACTGGACGCTCTTTTATTTACATCTGTATCTTTAAAGCCATCTCCTCTGTCAGCATCGTCTTCAGCATTTTCGTGAAAACTGTTTGATGGGAATAGATCTTCTTCGCTTTTGTCAAACAAATAACTCCTTTTCAGTCGGTTATTTGAGTTGGAGTCACTGAAATCATGAAAAGCTGCATCGTTGCTAGGGGCGGAGCCTAGCTGAGCTGAAATGCTGAAATCTGTAGTCAGGGTGATTGCTAACACAACATGGAGAATGGCACGTTTTGTCAGCATCTCTGTGAATTATTGCCCTTGTTTTTTGGTCTGTAAAGACAGAAATAATAAATAGTTAGAAAATGGCAAGCAAATTTACAAGAAAATAGTAAAATAATCAATTGCTTTCGTCTTCTTCTTTGTCGATATTTGTTTTGTAAGGCTAGGTGTAGTCTAGTTTGAGAATGGAGGTGGAGGCAGTCTCTGCTGCCTTCCGCTGGCTTGAAAATAAGTTGTACACAAATGTAATTATAACTGGCTCACATCTTGAGAAAGGTGAAAACAGGCATGCTTCGTGCAGAGTGGCAAGCATCACTTCAGAGGTCCCGGGTAGTTAGCATCCTTTAGTTAGTTTCTCCAGGTTCTGAGGGTGTGTTGGAAAATGAGCAGGCAGATAGACTGTCTGGCTCTTCACCACTTGGTAGTGAACTGATTTACGACAAGTTAGATATTGTGAGGGACCTTTGGGAACGAGTGAACAGTGCGGAGGCGCGGATAGATCATTACGGTCTGAGGAGAATGGTGCTGCGAGGAGTTACCAGGGGATCTGGTCGACGATCAATACTCAGGGAAAGGATGAGACGGATACACAATCAGACGGTTACTGGTGCCATCGGAATTGGAACTCCTGGCTTGCTGCTGAAGATGGGGACTGAGCACTTATGTGAGTGTCCCGAGTGCTGTGATGTCGCTTCTTAAATCAACATTCAACAAGGCTCGGGGTTGCAGTTTTACATGGTCGGCGCCAAGCAACAGTGTTCTCGGTTTCTACTGATGGATGAGTTTGTCCCCTCTGGGATGCTACCTTAAGGTTTTTTCATATCATCCTGAAGGGGAGTCGCCGCGGTGTTAGCAGTAAGACGCCTGCTTGCGCATCGGAAGGTTATGGGTTCGCGTCCTGATGGAGCCAGATTTTTTTTTTCTTCAAAAAATTACCCCGACTCCCAGATCGACCCAGCCTTGAGTGGGTACCAGGTAAAGTCTTAGGGAGTAAAGGCGGCCAGCTTGATACTGACCACATCACCCACCAAGTGCCGATTGGTCTATAAAAATATAGGTCAAGCCCTTTATTCCCAATACGCCTAATGAAGTGGAAAGTGGACCGTTACTTACTTTTTCTTTCAAAAATCTCAGCATGGAAGGCAGACCTACACGGGAGATCCCAGACACGCCGTTCAACCTCAACACAAGTTATAATTGTCCCCCCAATGAAGGATACACCAACAAGGTGTAATCTTCAGTCTATTCCGTATAAAGGACACATGGTTGCTGGATGTGCTGTGACGTTAAGTCTTCTTCTGTCAGTTCTTCGGTATCGGAGGACGGAGCACGAATGGGGTCGGCCCCATGTTCAAGGGTGTCGATACAAACAACCAGAATCAAGTAACAGCACGATACTTAGACTATCAGCGACCTGTTCAGTCGACTCTATGCTTGTTCAACATCTCCCACATGGTGCTCCCATTTTCATGTTGTACCATCTCGCTTGATGCATCATTTTCAAGAAAACTGGTTTGATTTCAGAATTTACTAAACTGGGTAGATCTTTTCTCCAAGAAGCGGCAAGCTCCTCCCTCATCCCTACCCCAATCTGTACAGCTATGTGCTAGACCTTACCTCTCAAAAAGGTCACTGGATTTTCTGAGAATTGTGTAATCAGAACACGCACAAGAGAAAGAGATGGACTACAGTCTCATATTTGACAGCTTCACAACATATCAATGGCATTATCAGTCCGACTTCACGACTTCTATATTTCTAAAGCGCTATTCCACGTCTCACCGTTAGCGTCACTGCACTTATTTTATTATACAAAATACAAACTTGTACAAATCAGTCCAGGACAGCGGTTCCCAAACGGCTAAGACATAGAGGCTTCTATTATTTTTTAATATCTTTTAAGTAGACATAAATGTATTCGAAAACAAATTTCTGAGGAAAGTGGTGAAAATCAAATTGGATGAATTCAAAAGGGGTAAAAATAATAAGAGAAATGTCTTGACAACAGCTAGTTTTAAGACAGTCGTAAGACGCTATACTAGATACAATCTGAGAAGAAATGAGCAGAAAATCACCAAGCAGGCATTCAAACGGGAACTAAAAGGATTAAGGAGGCAAGGACAACCAAAAGAAACCATGAGAAGAACGCTGATGAGAGAGGCCAAAGCTGGTGGATTATATCCATGATATTAACACAGGATATAACGGAATGGAAATATAGATTGTGAGTTCTACGGGACTTATAATGACACAGCTGGAAAATGAATGAATCAATCAACTTAATTTAAACACATACATTTATTTACAAAAACACTTGTATTTTTCGACTGTGACCAAAGTGGTGGTGTGAATTGAAGATTCAGAAAATGGCGCAATACCTGTTGTCGCAATATTGGTGGTGCCATTATTTGATTAAAATTGATCGCGTGTGCAACTGCTAATCTGTTGGTGACTTCGGCTACCATCAATGATGAACTGCATTTCTAATGTCGGACTGTTTGTGTTAGCACTTTGGATGGCTACCGTATGCTTTTAATGCGTGTGTATGCTAGTGCATTTGCTGAAAGAGAGACAGAGAGAGAGAGACAGAGAGAGAGAAAGAGAGAGAGAGGGAGAGAGAGAGAGAGAGAGAGAGAGAGAGAGAGAGAGAGAGAGAGAGAGAGAGAGAGAGAGAGAGAGCGAGATTCAGAATACTATAGGTGAAATGGAAAACATACTCAAGGGAAATTTCTTCTTGTTGTGTTCACCCTCAAAAGGGCGGATATCCCGTTGTGTTGTGGTTTACAGCTAAGATGTGATATCTACGCCGTACAATCCGATATATCATATGTCAGCGGCTTTCACGACAAGCCTGTTATAGGTTAGTGGGTCTATTCTCTCTCTCTCTTTCTTTCTTTCTCTCTCTCTCTCTCTCTCTCTCTTTCTCTCTCTCTCTCTCAAAATGAGACCCAGAGCCTACGCAAGGGCAAGGAAACTTTAAAAACAAGCGAACAACTGGTAGGCAACGATACACAGGGAAAGATAGCAGCAAGCAATGATCGAAGAACACACATTTCTGAGCTTACAACCAGAGCGAGTCACACCATGTCCAAGACCCACTGCAATCAAAAGTTAATCGACCGACAAACCTCATCGCACATGGGCCAAGTCCATAAACGTACGGATCCTATCTTCCGTATCTTCTTCAGCATGTTAAAGTTATTTGCGCATCCTTTGCAGGACGTTGCAGAATAATTTCCATCATTTTTTAGCTGATCCATTTTTTTCTAGGCAAATTTTATATTCAGAAGTTTGCCATTGCCCTCTGCTCTGTCAGCTCTCGGTACTACTATCGAAACCAACGCAAGACAACGCAAGACAACACACGTCCGCTGCTGGGATCGAACCCCGCTCTTAAAAGCGCCTTCCCAACGCCTTAACCACAGTCGCCACAAACATGTTTCTCAGCATGTAGAGACCGATAAAACCAGTTCTGTGTTGGTTGACTATAATTCATTTATTTATTATTTTGTCCCCCTTAATAATTAGCATCTCGGGGATGAGAATCAGACAGGTACAAATACCAGAAACCCCGTTGAATGAAGAATCGACATTATAGCACTCGGGACACTCCCATAAGCCCTCTGACCCCATCGGAAACCCCGTTGAATGAAGAATCGTCATTATAGCACTCGGGACACTCCCATAAGCCCTCTGACCCCATCGGAAACCCCGTTGAATGAAGAATCGACATTATAGCACTCGGGACACTCCCATAAGCCCTCTGAGCCACGTAGCACAGTTAGACTGAGACACCACCAACAGAACAAACAAAAAAAAAAAGTCTACAAAGTTACTTGTGATAGTGTGCATATGCTATTCTCCTTGGGCTACCGGTATACTGTTCATGTGTTACGACGCCTCTTTGGACATGAAAGCGTTACAGTGGAAAGACTGCCGTCCTCACCTGAATCACATACCTTCCTTCGAAGTCGGAGTATATCTGCCCTAGAGGCAGGAACAAGAACTACACACAACTAGGTCATTAAAACAGATGTGCGCGCAAATCTCAGGTCCCGGTACAAAGCTAAAAGTCCACATGGACGAAGCAAAGACTGTCAGCATGGTGTTGAATACATCACCCAGCAAGTGCCGACTGGTCTTGAAAATATATGCCCATATATGCCCATATTCCCAATACGCCTAAAGGCGTAGAAAAGGGTCATGTACTTTTTTTTTTTACTCTAAGCTTCCCTATCTTACAACTAGTTTATCCTTGATTACCAATAATTTAAGTAGCAGTAATTTTGCGGAAACGCAGTTGACTTCAGTTTGCCACGTTGGGTAAGTATACTTTGTTCACCGGTTCATTAGTAAGCCAATTCCTCGGAGAACATTTACCTCTTGACCTCTGAAGTTCAGATTGCTCTACAACAGCCGTCCCCAAATTAGATCAGACGTGCGGACCTCTTTGTTTTTTTTTAATGACTAGCTACGGAAAAACTTAATATATTATATAAATATTTAAACCGAAAAAAGAGGATCGTTTTTTTTGGGGGGGGGGGGGGGGGGGGGGGGGGGGGGGGGGGGGGGGGGGGGGGACATTTCCTACACAGTTTTTGTTCTTTTTGTTGTTGTTTTTTTTTTTTTTTTTTTTTCTTTTTCTTTTTCTTCTTCTTCTTCTTCTTCTTCTTCTTCTTCTTCTTCTTCTTCTTCTTCTTCTTCTTCTTCTTCTTCTTCTTCTTCTTCTTCTTCTTCTTCTTCTTCTTCTTCTTCTTCTTCTTCTTCTTCTTCTTCTTCTTCTTCCTCTATTTCTTCTATTTCTTCTTCTTCTTCTTCTTCTTCTTCTTCTTCTTCTTCTTCTTCTTCTTTTTCTTCTTTTTCTTCTTCTTCTTCTTCTTCTTCTTCTTCTTCTTCTTCTTCTTCTTCTTCTTCTTCTTCTTCTTCTTCTTCTTCTTCTTCTTCTTCTTCTTCTTCTTCTTCTTCTTCTTTTTCTTCTTCTTCTTTTGCTTCTTCTTCGTCTTTGCGTTTACCAGATGAAA